TCTTAACAGTTGAAGTGCTGTCCCTATTTTAATAGACCCCTTTCCCCACTACTGTTATAGGCCCCTTTCCCTTCCCTTGTTTTCTTTCTGAATAAAGCGTATCCCTATCTAAATCAGGGGTTGTTTGTTTGTTTGTGTTTTCAGACACTGATATATATCCCCCAAACAAGTTCTTTTTTTCTTATATTTCATGAGGACAATTGTGGGTATCTAGTGACTCTTAGGGAAACCCTTCTCAGACTAATGTATTTTATACTTATACAAAGGAGTCCTAATGTGGTACCATAGGATAAGCACTTGACCTCAAGGTTGGTTTGAATTGCAAGGCTAGCAATTCAACTCACTAGTTGCTCCTTCGAAACCCTAAGCAGGGTTGCTATGAGTCTGAATCAACTTAACCACAACAATATACTTATACAATGTAAATATGCAAAATATTATAGTCATCAAAGTATTTTTTTAAATACATTTGAGAGTGGTATGTATTCTGTTTCTTACACAGTCAACACATTACATAATACCATCTTTTGGTGAGCCCAGTAACCGCCATCAGTAGATTTTTGTTTCTTTTTATCAGTTGCCTTTGAGTCAATTTCAACTCATAAAACTCCATGTTGTGTCAGAGAATTGCTGTGCTCAGCAGGGTTTTCAATGTCTGGCTGGAAGTAGATCACAAGGCCTTTCTTCTAAGGTGCCTCTGGATGGACTCAAATTTTCAAACTTTTAGTTAGCAGCCAAGTGAATTAACTGTTTTCATGGCCCAAGGACTCCTCCATATTCAGTGTCTGTTAGTTTGTTGTTGTTGTTAAGTGACTTCGAGTCTGTTTCAACTCACAGTGACCCTATGCACAACAGAACAAAACAACACCCAGTCCTGTAGCATCCTCATAAATGCTGCTGTGCTTGAGTCCATTGATGCTGCCACTGTGCCAATCCATCTCCCTCTTTTTTGCTGTTCCTCCACCTCACCAAGCATGATGTCTTTCTCAAGGGACTGGCCCCTCCTGATAATATGTCCAAAGTATGAGAAACAAACCTGGCCATCTTGGCTTTTGTTGTTAATTGTTAAGTCTCCTCCAACTCATGCAGAGTATACTCTATGTAGGGTTTTCAAGGCTGATGGCTTTTTATTGAAAAATATGGGAAGCAACGATCTTATTTCTGATTGGCTTATACAATTTACTATTGAACTGCTGTCAGGATTTCATCGGCCAATAACAGGGGAAGGCCTATAAGAATCTTCTTTGGTCAAGGATGGCCTGATTTACAGGAAAGTTAAGCATAAGTTTCAAATAAATAAAAGTCTTAGGGGTACAGATGACATTTTGTCAACCACAGGACCCTATTAGTTCATTTAATGGTGTTCTCTTTTGGATGAATGGGTTTCCTGGGACTGCTATAACAAATGACTAACAAGTGACTGACTCCAAACAACAAAAATTTTAACTCAGGGTGTTGCAGACCGTGTAAGACTAGTCAGAGGTTCGAGGCCCTCTAGGGCTGAGTGTAACAAATGAGGCCACTGGCAGTTAATGGAAAATTGCTTTCATCTTAATATTCA